GAAGTGCGTACTCGATGACGCCGGTGGCTGGATTCGTTTCGTTCAATCTTGTCCATTCTCCGCTTTTTAAGGTCATCGCGACTTCTTTCGTTGACGGACGGCCTGCTGTGGCGTGAAGCGCGCGAGTCTTCATCCTTTGACTGCGAACGCGTCGCGGGCGATCGCCTGCGTCTGGAATGGTGAGCACTGGAATGAAAACGAGAATCGGGGGAAGAGCTTCGTTCTTTACGAGCCATTGCAAAATCTGCCCAGAAGCGACGTCAAAGCTACCTCAACAAATTCTTCATCACGAAGACAGCGGCTGCTGAAGACGGTACGCCGCACGCTACCGTGATAAAGTTTGATCCGCAGGTATTAATATATGAAACAGTAACGGTAACTGCATTAGTTGTAGATTTATGGGTAAACACGAAATCGTACGGGTACCGGTTTCAAGTCAGCCTTCTTCAAACGTAGCCAGTTTTCTTACGACGGAGGCTGTTGGAACGGTATGAGCTCTACAGATAGTTCGTTGTTCTTTACAAAAGAATTTAAAGATTTTGCATTCTGCCTTTCTCTGAAGACGAATCGAGCATGATCTAAATATGTATATAATAAATTCGACGAGCTGTTATCCAGTAAAAATTTGTTCGAATCTTAAAGAGTTAAATGTTAATACTGTTTTTCCGTCACCACCACTTGTAGTCCTGACGATAGAGTGGTCGGTTCTATCTTAACAGTAGTATACATTTAAAGCCCGTTGCATTTCGCTTTATTTTGACACACAGAACTCCTCCGTTGCGGTTTCAAGCTCGGATGAGAAACGAAAAAGTTTTGACGCCGCGGCGAAGTCTTTGGCAAAGAAATCTGACCTCATTGTATTGCTGTTACCGAACGTTATGACGACTCAAGCGAATTACCAAGATCCGCTTAGGCTGTGGGAACTAACCCTTGCGATTGTTCGGCCATCAGATCCTGTTTCACAGCTTATAGCACTGAGAGCATGGCAACACGATAAGAGCTTCCATAGATGGACACGAAGATGACAAAAGCACCATTGAGCAAAGCAGTTGGTACCCGTTCTGAAAGGATGAAGCAGACAGTGCAGTGCCACTATACCAGTCAGATAAAGCTCCACGGGAATGATTTCGACAGTGCTAGCACAGTCGGAAATGGGAACATCTACTCACTCAGAAGTAAAGAGCATTAGCGGCTTGACGAGGCCGCATGGGAGCTACTGGCCGTAATTGAACTCGCGTCAACGTAGCACCGGGGATCTGGAATTTTGAACTTCTGCGAATGTAGACTATTCTACTCAGGTATAGGTTTCACGACACGTCCTCAGGCTAGGGTTATTGTTGTGGTAGAACCCAGTTTCTTTGTCAGTGGAAAAGTGGTAATTGTACAACTGACGCTGCAGCAAACGATGACTTTGACGTTCTTACAGGTGCGGTTTGTAAGGTTTTGGTACAGGTGAGTATTTGTTATCACCGCTTAGTCCGGCACCCATGTCTAAGTGGACAGTGGTCAGCTGCATCAGTTGCGTGATTCAGCCCATCATTTATATACCAATGGATAGTTTTTTGTATGTAAATTACGATACCGTTGTCAGATTAGTGAATTTCTTACTATAGTTCCATTCTTATGACTGTGCAATGTCAGTACGACAGCGTGCAGTCTGAGGCCAGGAGTTTGAATTTGTTTCATTGGCAGATGGTCATCTGTAACAATTATTTGTGTAACAATTATCAGTGGAAAGTTCTTTGCGAATACAATACAATGTGATGCCATTGTCAAACTATGAATGCAGGTAATTTTTATTTTATCAGTGAAAGAACGAATGAATGGCATGATGTATTTGTAGATTCAGAAGCTCTATGGTGGTGTTAAATATCCAGAGGGATATACAAAGCAAGTTGCTACACCTTCCTCTCGCCTGACTCGCTATAGAGTGGATGGAGGGACCAAGAGCATGTCCATAATTTTGTGACTATGGCACGTCACTGATAATCGTTTGGGGAAGAGCATCAGGAAAATTTTAAGAAACAAAAGAAATGCAGGGATGATTGACTGTACTGTCTGTTACTTCATCCCAAAGGAAACAAGGGCAGTACCTAGAGCTTTATCGTAGTAGATAAGGCTGAATTTCTACATGAAACATTTGACTTATTCACATTTATCCTCATGACCGGAGGAAAAGCTTGAAGACTAATCCCTTTGAGTAGGATCCTCAGACTGTATCTAAATACATCAGCAGCAGCTATCACCCATTCTACGTAGGGGTTTGTTATCAGCTTTATTGGCATGTATCTTACTGAGGAAGAACCCAAATATCTTCTCTTTTGAACAGAGGTGTTCACTATTTGCTAAGATCTCTCTAGTAAGTATCTTATGGATTGAATGCTTACTACTAGCGAGCATAGACCTCTAGAAAACTATAGGAAAACCTATTGAATAATGATCTTTCTACCTGGATTTCAAGCACAGTGCCAGTCAGGAAGCTGGGACATCGGAAAAGAAATGTTGTTTCACTCTACTTGGAGAAAAAATTACAACCGACGAAGGTGATCGTTCCCTGTGCGCGAAATAGTCAAGGAACAACGGCTTAACATTCTGTGAAGTCGAATCTTTGTCATGTAGCACTGCTATGTACAAATGCTGGCTGTTACATCAGATTCTCACATTGTAAAAAAGTAATCCTGATATAAGCAGGATCAGTAAGAAGATCACTCTTCTCATATCGGATTTCTCCAGCTGTTAGACAGGTACTTTTACGGACTCTTCCAAGACCCCAAGAACAGCGTTGTCCTGTCCTATCATGGTAAACACTCAGTTGTTTGCTTGATTGTTCAGCCAATTTTCTATTTTTCACCTTGAGCAAACTTTTAAGTTCCACTGACTGAATTGCGAACCGCATACCAATGAAAGCTCGTCATTCAAACGGAATGAAGAAGAGGGCAGTTACAGATATAAGCCTGTAATTGATTCAGAATTGGTTGTGAACTTCCTGAGTCCTTCCTGGACTGAATAATAAATCACGAATACTTTTATGTAAGTCCAACAGAGCTGTATAAACTTTCAGTCTTAGCCTGTGACCAGTTCTTTTGTAATCTTCCTTTGGATGATAACCCTAACTAACGCTGTCTGCTTATAGCGTGACTGATATCCTGCAGTTGTTGGTAATTTTAAATTTATTTCAAACTTTTTTGATTGGTCTGCTATTAGGTTCTCTTGACTGGTTTTCTGCCTCTCACCACTGAATGGGAAAAATTATTCGCAGTAGCATTTCAGCTATTTATTTTGTAAACCGCCTGATAAACGTCACTTTTGTCTCCATGATTACTTATTCTGAACTCTCACGTTTTAGTCCGCTTAACTGAGACTTTCGTTTGTTCGAAGTTTGATGACTAGCACTACTCCTGAGCCAAATGATCGTCCTTCAGACAAGTATGAAGAACTGTTTAGCTGTAGATACACCGACGAAGACCCGGACTATGTGGCGGCCCAAAAAACGCAACCGCCGATGTGCCTCTATCCGTGGAGCAGCAAACCGAAACGCAGCTTCGACTATTCTGCGTAATGGCTTTGATTGTTAGTTGCTGCTGTTCTCACTACCCCCTGTTTTTTAGGGTTCGACGTAAACGACGCTTCGAAGAAATAGACAGAGGGCATCAGTACAGTGGCTACTCGTTCATCAACGACAAGCGGCCAAAGATGACCTGTCAGGGTTCATCACGCGAAGCTCCAAACGAATGTGGCTTCCGACGCGGCGATGGTGACAGTCAGCCAAAAACGGATCGCATCTTTTATCCTCGTCAACGGTGACAGATGTACTTCCAAGCGTGAAACGTCGGTTTTCATGGCTGCCATTTGTTTCTCTCTTAGCTTTCATGATCTTGACAGCGGTCGATCGCGTGACAGGCGAATATTTCAGCCTTATCAGTTAAAAAATGTTTCCCTACTTTATCAGTACTGATGTAATTCTCTTGATTTTCCCGTCGTTTTTGTCATCTGTACGCTTTAATGGTTGTCTGAAACTTAAATTTACAGAAACGTTGTCTGAAGTTACTGTACAGATAAGTTTGTTTTTGTAATACAGTTTGCTGCGACTCAGATAACATTGGTTCTACTCAACAGGAAAAATAACATTATAATAGTTAAGATGATTGTCCCCATTACACATGCAGATACGCAGGATTTTTATCATCCTTAAATAGCTTATAGCCTTGAAAGTGTGTTCTTGCTTCTGTGCCAGGAATTGAACGAATTTTAAGTTTGTTGGTTCATGATTGGAACGAAAACATGAGCGATTGGAACGAAAACATCAACGAATATCTATCTTTTATTGTTCGCTGAAAGTTTAATCACTGATGAACAAAATTATCCGTAACCGATTAGGACATTTAATTTTTATATGAAACTTTAGAGAAACTATAAAGATATGTTTAGTTGACATGGAGTTTTTTGGCTAACATCATTTCGGGCTCATGGTTGGGAATTCACTGCTTAAGAAATATAGCTGTAACAAAATCAGCAACGTTTTTAACGTAGTATATGGTACCCATCGTAGGTGTGACAAAATTTCGATCACTGTGAATTTTATTCGTTTTGTAAGCGCAATTGCTATCGGTATCATGTGATTTAACTTGAAACGTGACGAACAAAGAACAAACCAACAAATGTAATTATATAAAATAAGTTTATATTCCCAGCCTAAGCTGCAATTTGTTGACAATTTGACAGTCCTCTTCCAGGTTTTAATTCTTAATAACTTTGCTTGGTGTTTCCATAACCGTAATTGTTGGTTCGTTTGTTCACTGATTCCGTTTGTTAGTCAAGCGTGCAAACAAAATTTCATTTTACGATATTTGTATTGACTTAATGTTAAATTTATTTTTGCTGACAAGCGGACTTTTCTGGTGATACCATTCAAGCGGTAAAATTTCATACATTTTAAACTTCATCTTCAGTGTCGTGAAATGAGGTAGTGTGCAAAACATCTGTTCTTCCGGGTCTCTTGAGCGTCTTTCAGAGAATAGATAGAATTCATTGCGATGCAACTCAATGTTGAAGATAGCATTGATCACACTTCTCGCTCTGGTCGTGTTGAGACATCTTTCCACAGCTTTTTATGTTAATGAACGACTGATGTCCGTTAACAGCTGCTGGCCTTACCGTCTAGGTGCGGTTGTAATAGTTGATGCGATACGCTCAGTAATTTTCATAGGGTTATTTCGTTTAGGTTTATTTCATCGGGTTATGGGAGAAATCCGCAAGATAGCTCGACGTAGAATGGTAAGTTTTTCTGCTGAAGACCGAAAAAGGCACATACCGACATATTTGACTAGTTGCAGCAGACGGCTGACCAATGTATCAAGATGTGTTTGTGAAGCTTCTTAGTGCATAAACGGTTGCATAAAGAGCACTTCGATAAGGAATACGGTGGCATCGCACAGCGTCTAATTTCGACACCCATTTTGCAGTACAACGCGGGTCATGTTAAAGTGTTCTGTGCATTTTCTTGCACGCACATGTGCAATGAATATTGCATATCCTTAGATATAAATCAAGGGAGAAACTTAGGCAGGATTTGAACTGAAAATTGAGTGACAGTCAACAGCTTGTCAAAGACAGGCGCGGCAAAATGGCAGACGACAACATCTGAATTATCAGTATCAATAAAAGATCGTTGTTCACTGAGTTGTAACATCCTTATTTCGTGAATATCGGTTTATCTGACAGTGGCTTCACTTAGAATCGAAAGTCTCTGCATCTTCCTGAGGTCGATAAATGAATACTACTTCGTAGACCGAAAAGAGAAGATATCACGTTGTGCTTGCCACACACCTGTCACTAATTCCTTAAAAAATCATTTCTAGCTGATGATGTTTTAATGGAAATCAGGACTGGACTATAAACTGCAGGTTCAGGGCAGGCTTACAAGCTAAACTGAATTTGCCATGCGTTCGTTTACTGAGAAATGATCCTATTCTTATCCTTGGCGAGAACGCCGATATTGGTTCTAGGCAAGCCATAACGATTTATCAAGGACAGTAGGAAAATAACAAAGGTTACTGGGGAGCAGTGGCGCAATGGATTGTCGTTTGACTGCACTTTCGTAATGCGTCTCTTCCAGCGCTGTGTAAAAATTTTCTTATTAAACGCTAATTCCTTCGGGCAGGGAATCAGCCCAGGTAGCAAGTCGCTGATATGCGAATAACAGGAACAGTGCCTTGACTGTGTCAGTTGTCCTTCTTCCTTCGTACCTTCCATGACCGACAGCACATGTGCATTTTGAGTGTAATCTATCGCAAAAAATGTTGTGCTTGTCATCGTTACCGGAGTATCATTGTCAACGAACGAGTAACCTGATTAATGATATCTGACGCTTTGGCTTCTAAGAATGATTTAGAAGAGAGAGAAACATTACATATCTTTGCTCCACTGCTCTTTGCGTTTATAAACCTTATTAAACATACAAAAAAATCAATGACAATTCAAGAAATAAGCGTATTGAAAACATGGCTAAATAGTGGATGACCATAAGCGAGCTCATTGCACATCGCTACGTCAAAGTCCTTTCGGTTACCGAAGAAGCACTTGCTGGCCATGGCCACTTCCATGAACTGCGAAAGCGTGTCCAACGCACTGTTCACATCATCGCTATTTTGGTGTTTGGCTTCGTTGATGCGCTTTAGAGCCTTAGAGACATTTTTACCCATCAGAAGACCACAGGAATCAACGTTAACTTTCGGTACCAACAGCATGATCTGAAGGATGGCAAAACGAAGCTTGCATATAAAGTCATCAGAGGTAGTCGTCTGGGTATGGGCTCCGGACGCTTCGACGATAGGGAACATGATGCACACGCAACACAGTTTGCCAATGCACTGTGACAGCATTCTGACCATCGGTCCAACGGAGATGGTTTTGCTGAGGTCCCGGAAAGGTCTGAGGAACAGCTTGCAGTTGCTGCACATCCATTCAGCGGCTATCTCAAGTAACGGCAATGGAGGCATAACGAACCAGTCGTAGTTGCTCATCGCGTAGACCAGAAAGTACAAGACGAAGCTCGGGCACAGACTGATCAGCTCACACAGAGTTTTCTGCTTGCTGGCGCCATGATCGTCGCCGTCGCATCGACAAAAGTCATCAACTAGCCTCGCGGATATCGACTTTACGGTAGCCGCTGCGCCTTTAGTGTTCACCGCCTTCTGCATCCAAGTACTTGTGTCGACTAGCAGGGGGACACACGGCATCACGACGGCCAGCGACAACACCTGAACGAAGATGTTCATCCGACATTCGTGCAGCTTTGAT